TTTTTTGGGTAAAGACTTTTTTCCGTTTTTGAAAGAAAACCCTTTTTCGTTCCATTCGCTTACCTCTTTTTGGATTTGCTGCATTCTCAATTATTTGTTTCTCGCAAATCATCTCGTCTCAAGCATAAATTGCAAGATCGATTGATCGCTCCGAGTTTATCTTTTTTTACATTTTCGTAATTCTTGATTAAGATTGGTGCATACATAATTCGATTAAATTTAGTTTTATTCTTGAATGTAATATTGATCGATTGATTGCTTTTACATTTGAGATTTAGGAAAATTTGGTATAGTAATCATAGTTTGCGTCTGTGATTCGTGATTTCAATTTGTGGTTTTAATTCACGTTTTTGTTTTCTAATTCGTTTTGAGTTTCGTTTTCATTTTTTTTTTGTTTTTCAATTTGTTTTGTTTTCAATTTGCTTTTGTTTTTGTTTTTCTGGGTTAAATTAAATTCGTTTTCAAATTTTAAATTCATTTTTAGTTTTTAGATCCATTTGCAAATTTTAAATTCATTTTTAACTTTTAGATACATTTTTAATTTTTAAATTCGTTTTCAATTTTAGACCTGTTTTCATTTAAATTCATTTAAATTACTTTTGTTTTAAATTGCTTTCATTTTAAATTCATCTTTAAATCACAAAACCCTCAAATTAACCATCGTTGCATGTTTAAAATTGAAAACATAATGAATTTGTGTTCATGTAAGATGACCTAGGTTTACTCTCTATATTGCAAAATTAATTAAAAAATCTAGTTTTATTTGACACCATTACGACGTGGTTGTCACGTTTCAAGTGGCAACTTAAATAAGCACCTTGTGCTTGGTTTGCTAAGGTATCTTCTTGTATTACTTCTATTGGTTTTACATGTAGCAAAACAACTTCTTCACTTTTCATTTATCCTAATAGAACTATCCTAACCTTACTTTTTGTTTATATAAATTATACTATCATTACAAGAAACACTACAACCGTCATAATAAATCTTTCTTAGCACCTCAACAATGACTTTGCTCTCAGAGACTTGGGTCAAGTTCACTACTTCTTAGGTCTTGAAGAAAGATACTTCTTTAAAGGTTTTACCATTCTGAAAGCTAAATATGCGCAAGATCTTCTAGTAAAAGCCAACATACATGAAGCCTCAAAGATCAACACTTCTATCACTTCTAAAGCAATGATCTACCTGATGATAGTGAACTTATAGATCCTAATTAATATCATCGCCTTTGCAGTTCTTTACAATACTTCACCTTCAGTTGGCTAGTGTTAATCTTGCATGCCAACATTTTAAAATCCAACTACAAAGGATTTCTATTTTATCATATGCATTGTGCATTCCATAAAAGAAAATTTAATACATGGTCTTCGATATTTATCCCAATGCTCTTTAACTCTTAATACTTTTTGCAATGCAAATTAGATAAGATGTCCAACCACCAAGCGAAGTATCACTGGCTACTGCATCTTCCTTGGATTCAACTACAAATCCTGGGACTCAATGAAATAACCCACTGTCGCTCATTTGAGCATTGAAGTTGACTATAGATCTTTAATAAAAACTACTGTTGAGATCACATCTTTTATATGGCTTTAGAATCACTCTTGAATGATATCCATGTTTTTTTTTAACAACAAAAGCGCCATTCACTTATCTCACAATCTAGTACTTCATACTTGAACTGAGCATATTGAAATCAATTATCATCTCATTTGGAAAAATGTTGTTGCTGGTGACTTTCAACTTTAGTACATCTCTACCACTCAATAAATTATGGGTATATTTACAAAAATATGCAAAAATTACATTTCGATACAAGCTCAATAATATTTTATAGTTTTTAAATTAGAAAACTTGATTAACAATTGTTATAAATAAAATTAGAAAGTGTGAAAAATATGTTTCTATAAATTGTTTTCTTGAGATTAAGACATTACAAAAATTTCTAACAAATATCTCTTTTTTCTCTTATCTTAATATATTATTCTCATTCTCAATTTTTTTAATTTATCTTTTTACTATCAAATCTTTACATGTGAGTTTCAATTGATACATTACCTATATATTTTTGCATTGATGACAAGTAAAAGAATGTCAAGTAATATATGTATGAAAAAAAAATTAACATTATCTTAAAAAAGTTAGTTTTCATCTATTTCCATCTTAAAATGCTTGAGATGAATATTGATTATTTTATTAAAAAAGTTATAAAAGTAATCCAATAAGAAGAAATGGATAAGGAGATTTTTCTTTTCACCTTAATCATTAAATTGGAGAGAATGCTCCTTAAGAGTCGTTAGAGCTAGAAGTTGATGTCCTTATACGCTTATGTATATTGACGATGAAACTGAGAAAACAAGCTTTGCAGCTATATTTGGATGTTGAAATTATTGGCAAGACATATCTAATCCCATTCTATATAGCGTAAAAGGATATTTTGGAGATTATAACAGGTGAGAATATGCTTTGTATTTTAGTGCTTTAAGTTTGGTTAATGTAAATATTTTTTTTATAAATTAGTAAATTAAATATTAAAACACTAACACTTAATAATTCTATCAATTTTGTAAGTATTACATTGACTTTCCACTTTAGAGGTGGTTGCTCAATTTGTATGGATTTCTTGACTCTGTTCACATTTAAAGTATAGGAAACAAGATTGAAGCTATCCAAACATACATTTAGAATAGGTTAAATGAGGGCAAAAAGAATTAATACCTTATACCATATCATTATGGGTAAGTTTTACCTTATTAACATTTCATAAAATTGGGTTCAATGTCCCTAATGGCCAAACCAATTTGTAGGAGCTATTGACAAGTGTTGATACTTTGTCCAAGACATAATGAAGTTGTTTTCCTTTGTTTGTTATAGAATAAAGCCAAAAAAGTAATAATTAAAAGGCATTATTGATGTGTAAGTTTATTAATAGACTTGTCAACACATATTTAACACATTATATATATCATTTTATATTAACATGAATGAATTTTTTCATGGTGGCTGTATGAAAGTATGCAATGTCTTGGAAGGTAAGCACTCAATGAGAAAGAAACCTACATGGATATACCTCAAATATCAATGTTTATTATTTTCCTATTCAAGGTACTTATTTTGCTTTCATAGAAAATTTTAGTTATTTTTTTTAGTCACAAACACAAGGAAAGTTTGAATATAATATCATCAAATATATGATCATTATTATCACAATAACCATTCTTAACTTATGGATGCATGTACTTATATTTATTTAAAACAAATATTAAGCTTTATCTATATTATTATTACATAAATTAATGTTTCTATTTTGTAATTTAAACATGTAAATATTTAAAGATGTTGATCCATTACTTGAAGAAACATTTTTGAATTGTTTTAGAACCTATATACTTAGTTTTTTTTTTTTTTTGGTATGATTTGTAGTGTTAATTTACCCTTTGTATAAGATATAGTTACAATTGAAATTAATATTTAGTTAGATTCAAAATATTTGTACACAATGTTTAGATATAAATGCATGTTGTATGTTTTTTAACAATATTTATATCTGTATCTATGAATGTTGATTATAAGGCAGAAAACAACGCATTTTTAAAAATAATAAAATATTCTAAAGGGATTATGTTATAACTCATCTAGAATGTCACTTCGTATATTGATTATACCATAATCGATGTTAAAATAATTAAAATTTATATTGATTGCTACATAAAACTGAAGTAGAAAAAATCTACCTTTTACATTAGTTAAGCATACAACTGATTTTAAATGTGGTCTTTATAACCAATCTAAAAATTACTTTTTATATTGTTGCTTAACTGATTTAAAGTGTTCACTCTTACTTATATAACTGGATGTATCTAAATCGGTTGTCTATGCAATGTTAAAAGTTATTTTTAAATGATATAAAAAGTATTTTATGCTGTAATGTAATAAAAATATTTGTAAAATATTTTGTTTTAAAGTTGTTTTATTATTATCGATATTTTTAAATTTCAAAGAATTTTGAGATCCTTCTTTGTTATACCAATAAAAAAATAACGTGTAAAAATTAAATTTAAATAATATATTATATGAAATTTAACCTTGTGACAATCTTTTAAATTTATATATATATAAAAAAAACTCAACGGGATTTTTTCAAGATTCAATAAAGTTCAATGGTTTAGATGAAAAAAGTATAACTCTAGTGTAATCAAATTTAAAGCCGCTCTCTGTTCCATCTCGCTCTCTGAGTTGGATTGAGACAAAGCAAAAAAGAAAGAGTTGAAGGGTGAACAGGAGAGTTTAGAGAAGTGAAATGCCCTGAAGAACATCAATTATCAATTAGGTGAAGAAGGACAAACACAGCATTTTGACTTTTGTAGAGCCAATGGAGTTTCAAGGTTTTAAGATTTAATGTAAAATAAATTTAAAAGACACAGACCAATAAATAATCCTTTTTTGTAAATAAATTTCGAATACCATGTCACTATTAAAATTCATCACATACTGCTAGTGCTACAAGGAAGGAAGGGTACTAGTACCCTCTAAAATTCAAAGGTATTGAAAGAAATCACCTATATATATATATATATATATATATATATATATATATATATATATATATATATATATATATATCAAATCAAATCAATTCCACTTTTAAATAGTCTCAAAACAACTCCATTTTTAATGATTAAGAAATATAAACATCAATTTTTTTTTCTAAGAATATTCAATTCAAACCCTTCTTTTACTAATGAGTTTTAAATATAAACTTTGATTTCTAAGCATAACCAAATCAAATCAAATTCAATTTTAATTTATACATTCTAGACACATCCTCAACACCCGTACATAATTTGGAAATGACAAAAATTATAATTATTTTATAGTGATACCATTCATCACAGCTTAAGAGTTAGTAAGTGAAATCAATTCAAAATATCAAATTAAAATGCTGTCACTATCTGTTGACGATAAACTTAAAATAAAGTCACAGTTAAGTATGAAAGATTTTATGATTTGGATGCATTGGTTTTTGCTTGTAAGAACCCACTGCCTGTGATCCTGTGATAATCAGATTCATCTAACTCACTTAATTGCCCAAAATTCTTTTCGTAATCTTGTAGAAGTTCAAACCTATAAAAAAGGAAAAACAAAAAATAATCAATGCACATTAACATCCAATTAGAAAATACAAAATTTAAGCTGAAACAATAATATAAATAAATATTATAAAGGATCTTATTAATCAATATTCTTAAAACACTAATTAACATTTACCTATCATAAAGAACTATTAACAATAGATTTTAAGACTGATTTTAAGAAAATCAAAATAGTAAAATTTTATCAAAAAATATTTATTATTTTTATATGCTTAAATTTAACCTAAACAACTAATAAATTTTAACAAGATTGATTGCAAAATACCAATATGCGACGCACTGAAATGGTGCATATTTCTTGTAAATTTCATCCACGTCTTTGTTAATTGTTCGATTGTTGCAACTTGACATTCCATGCACCTAAACGAATAGGAATCATAAACAATATCTTTTGTTAATTACGTGATTACAACATGATTCATAAAACTCAATACATAAACAATAGCAATTAAAATGTAAATTTTATTCTAGAAATTAAATGGTGCACAGCATCTTGCAAACCAACCTGTTTTAAATGCCTAATCGTTTCTGAATCAGCAGGAACTTTCTGGTAGCATCCCCAACACATAAGGGTAGTAGCAATTGTAAAGGGACCTAACCCTTTTAACTCAGTCAATTTACGATACACACTTTCATATGAGCTCAAATCACATTCATCTTCAAGTTTCTCCAGCGCAAGAGTTCCTTTCTCTACGCTTTGAGCCAATTTAACTATATAACGTGCTCGAAACCCAACACTACATCGCTTTTGCAGATCACTTATGTTGAATTTGGCAAGTTCCTTTGAGTTAGGAAAGTTTCCTATTTCCCGATCCTTGCTATATTTGTCACAAACTTTTGTGCCAATTTGGTTCTTTTGTTCTCTTTTTCTTTTGGTTTTTCGTTGCTCTTTCCTATTTGATTGAGGCCCCTTGCTTAGTTCTAATTGAAGCTTACATAGAGACTTAGCCATATCAAGAGTCCTACTCCACCTATTAACAACAAACTACATGTGAAAATCAAAATCAAGCATCACACATAGATAGTTTGTCAAATTTTAGTGATCATTCAGTTTAATTTAAAATTAAAAGTACAATTAAGATGTGTATCTAAATTACCTTAAATCTTATATTTTTACTAAAACATATATTTTTTATTAGATGAGAGAATTAATTATCTTTAATTAATTCCCATTTATACACAAATCAATTTGCTGACATATTATGTGTAGTTTCAAAAGATTAAAGTGTGAATTGATGATTGAAAAATAGAGTTGTGGTTACATTAATTGACGAGCTATTAAGATTTTAGTTAGCCACCTACTTTATCCTCTAAAGGTATCTTTAGGGGTCTAATCAAATTAAGCAACTCTATTGTAACTAACACTGACATATTTATATTGTTAAGCACAACTTACGTGCAGTTGCAAAGGAGTATAGACTTGATGGCATCCTCAAAAGGAGTAGGAGATCGAAAAATTCTACCAAATCCCTCTTTCTTAGCTTGTGCATGAATTTCTTGAAACTCATTCACTGCCTTTTCATCTTTCTCACTTATCCTTAGCATTCGTGCCACTTGTCCCTAGTAAATCAAAATTTTAAAAATAAAATTTCCATGCACCTATACATATATAAATACCAAAAAACAATAGCTAGTAAAATGAACTTATAACTTCACAAATCAAATGATGTTCATTTTCCCAGCAGTTATAATCATCTCCTGTATTGATATTTGATAAATCTAACAATTTTTTCCTAGTTTACATGCAAGTTGTACAAAGTTAAAACGACTTCAAAAAAGGACTTCATAAAATGTGTAGAAATGGAGGAAAAAACGCATGTTTTTGTTTAGAAAAAAAAAATCAAAACTATGCATGTTCTAACTTAAATTCAAGAATACGTTAAACAATTTTAGTGAATGACAAAAGAGCTAATTAAGTAAGGCAGAGTGGCACATATATACCAATATTGCACGCTGATTTTCTACCGAGAGAGCTTCATCGTCATGAATATAAATATGAAGATTGGCAGCATCTTTTGGAGAATGAGAGATGGTGACAAGGACACTAGTGCTTTGATCAGCAAGTCTTAAGGGACGTTGAAGGGATTTGGTTGATGAAATCCACCTGTTTGGAGCCATCATAAAGAAGCCATGGTTGCAAACTGCCTTCTCCAAATTGAAGCTTGATTGACATTTTCCTAGAGGCAAATATAACAAGTTCTTGGGCATTGTAGAGGTCTCCATTGCTTGATCTAAATTGATTTAGGAAAAAAGTTATTATTATAAAAGAAAAAAATTTAAAAAGTGACGTGACATAATAAAATACGATAGAAAAAAATACATTAATCTAATAGCATAGCAGTGACCTAATAAATGAAAATGCAAACCAAATTGCAACATAGAACTAAATTTCTACTACAATTAAAAGGTGCAGAAGGTTATACTAAACTAAAGGGCTAATCTAAAGAAAAGCATATGTTTTTTTTTTTAACTCTTTTCTTTTTCAGAAGTTATTATTTTTAGCTACAGAGAAAAAGCAGCAAAATAACGTCTCTGATAGGAATATGGATTATGACGTTCCACCTTTCACAACTTTTGGACACACAGTAAATTTCATTACGGAGAGAAGAGAACAACAACAAAAAATGTGGAATGAGGATAATAAATTTCTTTTCCTAAACAAATAAAAGTCATAAAGCATAAAAATGGAAAGGTAAAACTTGGCACAAAATAGTCCTATTCTGCCCAAATCAGATAAGCAATCTTCGTAATGTAGCAAAAAAAAAAACAAAACAAAAACTTCCTAGGACAAATAATCTACTGAACCCTAAAGCCTGAACAACTATGTCATTTTAGCAAACTCCAATGAAATATTTGCATCATGCTCCATGGCGAACAAACACAAGTAATTCGAAGTACAATGAAACAAAACAACATGCAACCGAAAGTAAATAGCTCAAGCAAAGAGACAAATGGTAAAACAAAATATGGAAACATTAGCATGATTTAAAATTTATAATCCTTACGAAAGGCATGGATATATACAGATAAATAACAAAAAAGAGATGGAGATAAAAGGAGAAAGTAACAAAAAGAGAGATATATGCATACCTTAGCACACTTAACTCGCCTTGGAGTTCTTGTGCATAGAAACTAATTGTTATCTATAAGCTTAAAGCATTTCAAATTTATGGTAAGATATATGTAATATTTATGAAGCAAAAAGACATCTGTGACTTTATTTAATGCCTCGCTATATCTTCCATGCTAGCATAGAAAAAACCAGCATTTGCAATTTTTCATGCATAAAAGAACTAAATCGACAGTTAGCAATTCTCTCTCTCTCTTAGTCGAAAGGTCAAAATAGATATATGCATTGATTATTTTTCTGCACATCTTATTTATTTATACTTTTAGTTCTGTCAATGTAATTATTCTGACACTTACATATTTCTTGGGATTGATTTGAATAAATGAATTTTTCCTATTTAAGAGATTATTATTATTATTATTATTATTATTATTATAAAATATAAATAATTTGATTTTGCAAATATATATTGTCTTTTACATAAAACTGATGCATGGGGTTTAGGACTTCAGGCTTTTTATCCTGAAAAAGATTTTAATTTGTATCTGAATTTTTCTTAATTTAGTCATTGTCATGTAAAATTTAAATGTTTTATCATTTTAATAAATTTTAACTAATAACATTTTCTTGATTGTTCAGTTAACACAATAAAGAGCCAAGTCCGAGTTAAACATAAATGTAACGTACGCAAAAATCACAAAATTTATATTTTTATCCTTATACGTAACAATTACTTTTAATTTAGTCTTTATATTTCATATTATCTTAATTTGAAATATTTATTTAAATTTTTCAAATATTATTCTATGAATATATATTGAAATTATCTAAATTTATTATATTTATTGATATATACATTATGATTAATAATTTTACAAATAATTATAATTACAAAAATATAGCTAAATTTAATTATATAAGTGAGCCGCTTGTTACTCGGTTCAACCTCCGTTAATTTTTTTTAATATTAATTATGCTACTATCTTGATTTTATACATTTAACAAGGTAATATGATCGGATAATGTGAATATAAAGTTATAAATAACAAAATAGATATCAGATTTTGTAGTGTCTCAAAATTAATTTTGTTCTTACTAGAGAAACACTAGTCTTCAGATCTCTATTTTAGAATGGTGACGTCCTTCTGACTGTAGCTGACGTGGAGAGGGTACCTGCAAAAGGCACTCTGATGCTGAAGTCAGGATTCGGTTCTAAGCAATAAATATTATTTAATATTGAAAAGTCAACCTGTTACATGTACTTTTTACCTTTCTTTTATAGGCATTGTTATGGGCTAATGGACCTGCTAAGTTAGCCTTGATTTTTAGCCATTTATTTAAAGTAGATAATATTCTGATTATTACCCTTAATTGGATTAATTACCTTTTAATCCTGACAAAGGGTATTCGGCCAAACTGGGCCGAATAGGAACTTAATTTCCTTTTTCTATATGTAGGACCGAATAGTTCCCTATATAGTACAAATTTAATTGATAACTTTGTATATTCTTATTTTATTATAAATTTTATATTAACTAAATGCTTCAATATAATATAAGTTATTAATTTAAGTATTTAATATAATACGTATCATATAATTATTTTTATTGAATTAGCGATTTTCTTTTATAAAAGAAATTAGGCGAAGTAGTCTTTAATTACTGCTAAATATTAATTTGTTTCTAGCACTTAAAATTACAAGTTCAGGCGGTTGTTATCTAGCGATTATAAAAATTACCAGCTTCAGGCTTCCCAAGTGTTCTGTGGTGGGTTATTATAAAACACTCTCAAAAATGAATTTGGGTCTCACTAATTTGACACGAATAAGAAAATATGAAACTAACAAAAAAGAAAAAGAAAAAAAATCGCAAAACTTGCTTAAGTTTTCCCTAAGAGACTTGGACGACTTCTCCAACTTGCTTTTGGCTATGAAATTTACAGATTCTTCAGTTCGCTCTGTAAATGTACCATAGAACCATACCATCAAATGCTGCCAGTGGGAGTTGTTATGTCAGTAAGTGAATGGAAACCTCATCTCTGATTAAACCATTTTTGCAGATTCTTGATGAGATCTTTTGGACTTATTGCGAGGTATAATTCTGAAGATGATCCTTGAAGGGCTTTATACGGGAACTTTGATCTCTTTTGTTCCTGAATTTGTCAATTATGTGCTTAACAATAAGAAATCCAGGGAAACATGTTTTTAACTTGCTCAGTTATGGGACTGTTCTTATTCTTCAAACTTTATACTTTTGTATTATGATCTCTTCAATCACTTAGTTTACATGATTTTTTTATTTTTTATTTTTTTTACAAACTTTGTAAGAAATCCTCAGATTTTTTATATAAAGAAAAATTTCCATGAAAAAAAAGTAAAATTGAAGAAAGGTACAACAATTTACTCCAGAATAAACGACAAATTTTGTCATTAGTAAATTTTAAACTTATTGAAGATTTTGTATTTTGTAACCAATTAAAAAAATTAAAGTTCTTAATAACTCTCCAAACTTCAATTAAATAATTTAGTACCCTAATGAATGATAATACTAAAAAGAACTCTACGTTGGCTTTATAAGGACACACACCTGGAAGTGAAATAAAATTACCTTGGCAACAAAGTTACAACAAGAAGATAAAAATGAATTCAAAAATTATTTACGTATATGGTGAATCTTTACATGAGTCTATGGAATCTCTGTGATTAATGATAATTTCATGTTTCCTTGTTGTTTATTTTATTGCACTATATTTGTATTTTCAGAATTGACAACTTTTAAACAATTCATAATTAATTATATTGTAAACGAATATACCACATATAGTTAATGGACTTATATAGAGTAGAATGAGATAAAAGATTAAGTAGACAAAGCTCAGTTATTCTCTTTCAATCATTATTAAATTAACAGCTCCTAGGCTCTTTATGTTTTCTCTTCTTTTAACCTTGCATGATAATAGCTTAAGAAAAAAGTGTTAACATTGCACGACCATTAAGTGTTAATAAATTTAGTATGAGTGGTTGCAATCATAAGAAAATCGGATTATAATTAATCTAAAAATAAACATAAAGAAGTGTAAAGATAAAATCTTACATCCTAAGTTCTTTTCGCTTTTATATTTAAATCATTATTTTATTTAATTTCACATTCTTTAAATTCAAATAATTAAACTATGAAATTCTTAATATTTGAAAATAGTTCTTATGAGACGATATTTTGAAAACTTATTTTATAATCCTTTTGTTACTTTTTGACGAGCCTCCTTATTTAGAAACAAAAATATTATATAAAAAATACTTTTTTAGTGATTAGATAATTACTTAAATTGGTGACCGTAAATGTTAAATTAATTATTGAAATCATTAAAAAAAGAAAACTACTTATGTAATGAAAAGTATATTTTAATTAATTAATATAAATGATTATAATGAATTAGGACCTAAAAATGATTTAAGTTAAAAGACTTATGTTGCATGATAGTCATTTTAATAAGGATATATATAAGTGTCGATAATTTATAATGTATAAAGATAAAGACATCACACATTAACATTATAAACTAATATAGTGATTAAGTGATAAAATTAAATTTAAATAAAAAATTATGTTAAATATTAAAATAGAAAATATTTAAGAGATACGTTTTGAATAAATAATAAAATTAAATTAAAAGGAATATAATTTAATTAAGGCTTAAATATATTTTAACTACCTCTAAATATAATTTATTTGAAATACTACTTATTAAATTTTTTTATTTTAATGTCTAACTTTTTTTTTTTTAAATTTTGTACTTAATGTTAACTTTCGTTAGTTAAATGGTAGCGTGACTCACAATTTGTCATGTCACCTTAATCTCTCTTCTCCATTTCACCCTGAAATTTTCATGTCACAATCTATATTAGCCCTATTTAGAAGTAGTTGAAGTATATTTAAGCCTTTAATTAAATGATAAATTATATAATTAAATGAAGATGAATCATAAAAATTATTTATATTATTTGATAATTTAAGAAAGGAATATTTTAGAGAAAGAATCTTAATTAAATAAAGTAATTACATAATTGATTAATTTATGAGATAAAATATAATTTTTAAATATTAATAATGTATATGACATATAATAATGTGAGTACACATATACCTTGATAATTTATAATATATAGAAATAGAGATGCTACACAATAATATTATTAACTGTTGCATTAATAATTTTAATTTAATTAATTAATTAAATATAGATAATTAAAGAGAAATTATTTAATTAAATATATTTTGATCAATTAATAAAATATTACATAGTTAAATTAATGTTAAAATATGACAATTTTATATCACATAAGATTTAAAGCAGCGTAGGTGTACATAAATTTTGATAATTTACAATGTGTACGGTAAAATTCCTACATGTTAATGTTATAAACCATTATAATATTTTTTTTATTAAAATAATTAAAATAATAATATAATTCAGCTAATATAAAACAAAGAATTAGCTATAAAAATTTCAAATCAGATAATATTTACATCATGATACCAATGACCAAATATTAAATGCTCACAAAATAATACTTTTTTATTCAAGTTGATATTTTTTATTTTTATCTATTCCATTATTATTATTATTATTATTATTATTATTATTATTATTATTATTATTATTATGTGAGAGATACAAGATACAATTAAAAGAGTCAAATAGTTACATGACATGTTTTTTTATATTTATTTATTTTATAATAATTATTCATATATATTTTAGAAAAATAAGATTTATTAATTGCATGATTATCGATACATCGGATGATATGAATGTTTAAGTTTTCATATGCCTTTAGTAATAACTGAAGTTTTCAATTTAGGTTACTTTACTTGACTCACACCGAGTAGCAATCTAAAGAAGTTCAGAATAATTTGAATAAATAAAATGATAATCCAAGTCTGCCTCTTTGCAAGTACTTCATTTTACAACTTTTTATAAAACAAAAGATTTATTTTAATGTATTAAAGATAACATATTCTATTAATAATATTTTTATGTTCAATAAAATTTAAAGCATCAAATATTTGTCCAACAAATTTTTTTAAGAAAAATATTAAATCACTTCATCTAAGAAAGTCCTACATATTTATAGCAAGAATTTTAATTATTCTCTTAATTATTTAACTTTTTTAAAAAAGATTTTGTATCTTCAATTATAGTAATTTCTCTCTCATCATCTTCGTCTGAATTCTTATAATCTAGAATCAAATCTTAATACTATCAATAAATTATAATATAAAATAAATTAATAATTTTAATTTTATAATAATAAATTATAATATATTCATAACCAGAAACATATATTATTAGCTAATTTGTCATATATACTTAAAAAAGTTTGAATTTATTTAAGCTTTTAACTCAAAATCTTATTTTTTATAAATATTTTTTAGGACCAATCCTATATAAGACTGTTTTATTTACTCTAAATGTAAAAATATATTAAAAAATAGATCAACTATTTATTCGATATTCTTGTTTTTTTTATTCTTTTTTAACAAGTTTGTAATTTGGAAAAAGAAAGAAAAAAAAATTTAAAAGATAAGTGAGGAAAGAAAAAAGAGGAGTATTAATATAAAACATTAAATTAAAAAAACTTAAAAATATAAGATTAGGAAAATTTTTATTAGTTTATAAACTCTTTCCATCTCATCTAACAACTCTCAAATAAAGATAACTATCACACAACTCTTTTCGTTATCTCCTTTTACCAAAAATCAACTATCAAATAAAGTCTTAGTTATTCTTAGATTTCTAACAAAACAATAAAATACTTGGAGCATAAAAAGCAATGCTTTAGTCATGTACTACATTAATTAAAGGCCTTTAACCTACATGTAAAAATCATAAATAATATAACATAAAAAATAATAAGTATTAAAAATTATAATTCATACCTATAGAGATTAGTTTAAGTAACAAATAATTTGAAATTGTTTAAGTAAGATTTTGATTTCAGTTTTTGTATATACAAAAAAATCTTTCATGCTCATTTACCACGTTGAGTACGCAAATCGAGTCGGATCTATATTAAATCGGATAGAAAATAAAAAAATAAAATTTTTAAAATTTTTATATTATATAATTAATAATTAAAAATATATATTATCAATACTCACATATACAACCTCTCTTAAAAGGTACTTTTTTTTTCTCAATTATAATTAAAGTATAAACTAAAATATGCTAATGTAAAATATAACCAAAACTGATTTCACATTATTTAATGATTTTTTTAAAAAAATTCTTTTTAATTCAAATATTATTATCAATGATTTTTTTAATTTTTGTGACATGAGTTAATAGAATCTTTTTAGAATTAATTACTAAAATTTAAGTATCTTCTATTAAAATGTTAAACGATTTCTTAATTTTTTCCGCTTGATTTGACATTTGACAGAGAAATTTAAATCTTCAACTGATTACATTCAATGCTAATGAAAATATTAAATTATCCTTCAATGATTTTGACATGTAGTTTAATTTTTTGATAAAATATTAACTGATATTAATTACGTTTTTTTTAATTAGCATAATTTAATTATTTTTATTTATTTTTAAGATTAGGAGAGTACTCTGATACTGATATACACATGAGACAAGGACCATAGTCCACGCGCATCTGAAGACATGGGCCAATAGGATTTACGAAAACTAGGAATTGAGTGTGTTAAGTGAGATTGAGTGTTCAGTATTGACTTGGACCGAAAGCAACGTTTGAGCTTCCCCTAACGTTGTCGTGGATTTTCTGATTATTGCTTATCGCTTATTGTGTGTTTTTAGGGAGTTTTTTTAAATATTAATATAATATGAAAATTATAAAACTAAATAAAAACAAACTTTTTAAAGATAATTTTAAGTTTTTATAAATATTTTTAATTCGTTTTAAAATTTTCTCCTTTTTTTTTTTTACTTATACGAGTAAGGTGAGAATTTTCTTTTATCATTTTTTCCTTTTTTTTTTCGTCGAAAAGGATCTTTATTTTTGGTCCCTCTTCTCTACTGCTTGTTGGTTTCATCCAAACGAGAAAGCCATTGCAAAGAATTTTCGAATAATAGAATCACCTTTGAACTTACCTCCAATGGCGAGGGAAGGTTCCAAAAATTCTACGAGCCGGAAGCGTAAACGAGGGTTTTCAAGAAAGCTTCAAGTCAACGAAAGGGTGGAGGTAAAGTCCACTGTTCAATTTTTAATGATAAAAATGTGATTTTCTTGTTTTTCCCTGAGGTCTTTTAGAAAAGAAAAACAATGTGGGGTACCCTTGTCGTGTTTGTAATCTTGTGTTTGTTTTTTCATACGTTTGTGCACGTGCTTCTGTTTCTGCTCCTTTAGTTTAGGTTGTCGTAAATTTTGGCTGTTACCGGGTTTGAAAGCTGTTAGCTACATTAACTTGTCGTTTTCATCATTAAATTTTTGTTTGATGTGTTGTGCATTGTTCTCTTTGCCATGCATGCGAAGTGTCGTTTTTTGTTTGCAAAGTTTAAATAATTTTCCCTCGTGATGCTTTTGGTCGGAAATTTCCCTGTATAGAAATTGAACAAGTTTTGAAAATTTTCAGGTGAGGAGTGAAGAGGATGGATTTCTAGGATCATGGCACCCTGGGACAGTTATCTGTTGTGGGAAGCTGAAGCGCCATGTCAGATACGAGAATCTTTTGGAAAACGATGGGTTGAATTATCTTGTGGATGTAGTGCGTGTTACAAAAGCATTGGATGGTGAAAATGAATCCTTGAATTGCTTTAAGCGAGGGTTCATTAGGCCACTGCCTCCTACGGTTGTGTTTGATAGATGGGGCCTTAAGTTTGGTCTGTGTGTTGATGTGAACCATCTAGAAGCTTGGTGGGAAGGGGCTATATTTGATCACTGTGATGGGGAGGAGAAGAGGACTGTGTTTTTCCCTGATTTGGGTGATGAAATGCAAGTTGAAATTCATCAGTTGCGGATTACTCAGGATTGGGATGAAGTTACAGGAAAGTGGGAGCAACGAGGGAACTGGGTGTTTCTTGAATTGATTGAGGAGTTAGAGAGGGAAACATATGTTCCAGTTTCAATTAAGCAAATTTGGTATGACTTACAGGTAAAAATTGAATTTTGCATTATTGGAGAGTGGACATATAATGTGAAGGACTTGTGGAGAAACATGGTGATGGAGATAATTCAGGAGTACTTTACTCTTACAATAGAAGCAGTTATCTCAGTCTCAAAACTTCAGCAGCTTTTATTAAATGAAATACCAGAGCTGGAGTTAGTGGAACCCATTTCTAATGTTGGGCAGAAAGAAACTGTTCCTCCTGTTATAGAGACCTTACATGATTTTCAAGATGAAATGACCCGTAGTGGTGCTGGTGACTTAACACCAGAGCTGGAGTCAGGTGAACCTGTGGCTAATGCTGACTTAAAAACGACCTTGCCTGATAAGGAAAATGTTGTGCAGAAAGAACCTGTTGCAGCTATTAATGAGACCTTACCAGTGTTTCAAAATGAAACGACCTCCAATGGTGCTGGTGACTTAAATCTTCCAGGGAATTTATTAAATGAAACACCAGAGCTGGATTCAGTTGAAACAGTGGTTAATGTTGATTTAAACATTACCTTGCCTGATAAGGAAAATGTTGTGGAAGAAGAACTTATTCCACATGTTAATGAGACCTTACCTGTTGATCAGATATGGAGTGGTGAATTATTGCATACAGTATCCAAATTGCTTCCAAAGGATGCTGAGTTATGTGTGATGGATGGTGGTGCTGAAAATAAATCAACTGCTAGTCAAAAGCGGAAATGCTTGAGAAATTCAAAGGCCAACCTACTGAAGTGCCAAAGCAATGGATTGCCTAGAAGGGTGCTAAGATCAAATAAGAGGGTGCAAAAGGTTTCAGCCACTTGTCTACACCATAAACCTCTAACTATTCTGTCTTGGTTGATAGACAGCAACATGGTCTTACCAAGGTCTAAGGTTTATTATAAGGCCAAAGGCAAGCGCAATAAGGTCTGTATTATGGCTCATGGGAGAATAACTCGCAATGGCGTCAAGTGCAAATGTTGCCTAACAATATACAGTCTTGTTGGCTTTGAAAATCATGCTACAGGCAATAGTACGTGCAGACCCTCTGCTAATATCTTTTTGGAAGATGGTAGGTCACTCTTAGATTGCCAGAAACAAATAATGGAAGATCATAAAACAAGGCAAACTATGGAAATACCATTCAGTGATTTGGGTCAAGGCGAGAATGACTGCATTTGTTCTTTTTGCCACTATGGTGGTGAACTTATTTTATGTGATCAATGCCCATCTTCATTTCATAAGATTTGTCTTGGTTTGGAGGTATATTAACCAATTTCCTTCTCAGTCATGCTATATTTAGTGTCATCTTGTTTTTACTTATTATATTGCTTCAATTCAGTACTTGCATACCAATAATTGGTTTTGGATCTGAGCTGTTTTCTTTGCTTGTTTTATTTTTTCTTTATAGGATATCCTTTATGGTGACTGGTTTTGTCCATCATGTAGTTGTGGGATTTGTGGCCAAAGCAGAATTAAAGGAGATGAGGATGGACATTTCCTTACTTGCATTCAGTGTGAACATAAATGTAAGTAAGCTAATAGGTGTTTTTACCTTAATATTTCATCCATGAATTCCATACCAGGATATCTTTTGGGTGTGTATTTGTCTACATATGTAAATCTGATGTGATCTTTGTCAAACTTATGTAGATCATGTTAGGTGCCTGGAAACTGGAGCTGTAGATATATCAAGACATCTGAAAAACTCGTTCTGTGGAAAAGACTGTAAAATGGTACAATAGATCCATCTCCCTTCCTTTTGTTTTTGAAAACATTTAGTCATAATTTGCAAGAAAAATTGTTTGCTTCTATTTGTTTACCTTCAAGCTCTCTCTCTAATTTATTTTGCTCTTACTTTCGTAGGAAGCATTATTTTACTGCTTGTTTATTGAAACAAAATTATATTTATCATCAATACTATGTGATTCTGGCCAATCGTTACTCATGAGATTTGATTGAATTAGTGATTTTGATTCTGGTGATGTTACTTGTTATGACTTGACAAACTGATGAGATTTGTCAGAGAAAAATATTAGGTTGTCTTCATTGAGGTCTTTTAGGGCACTGGTTCTCCTATACATTTATTTGTCTATTTTTTGCAGATATATGAGGGTTTTCGTAAATTATTAGGAAAGCCAGTTTCAGTGGGTGCGGACAATCTAACTTGGACATTGGTGAAGTTTATCAACTCTGACAGTTGTGATTTTGATAGTATTAAAAGTGACTTATTGGCAGAAAGTTACAGCAAACTCAATCTTGCTCTTTCGGTGATGCATGAATGTTTTGAGCCCTTAAAGGAACCTTTGGCTGGCAAAGATATCATGGAAGATGTTTTATTCAGCAGATGGTCAGAAATTGTTATCATTCGATTTCAAGATATGGTCATATGTTTTATGTTGTTTATTCTATATATCTTATACACAGCCGTATATACCTTGTCCATGATCATAATAATCTGTCTCTAAGTTGTGCTACATTATTGCAATATCTCTTGGCATATATCTCATATCTGTACATTGAAACCTTGTAGGTCAGAGCTTAATCGATTGAATTTCCAGGGTTTCTATACTGTACTACTTGAGAGAAATGATGAACTGATTAGTGTGGCGACTGTTAGGTGAGTATAGGATTTGTTACCATCAAGTACTAGGCTTTGATTGTATGATTGCATATTCTATTTGAGTTGTGGGTTTCTAAATTTATATGCATTGTTATGATATGGACATTCATTTTCTGTCAATTTTTTAGGGTTTTTGGGAAGAAGATAGCAGAAGTACCCCTTGTTGGTACCAGATTACAGTATCGTCGACATGGAATGTGTCACATTTTAATGAATGAGCTAGAAAAGGTAATCCAATAAGCACACGTATGCCCTTTTTATTGTCTTTTTCCTTAATTGGAAGCCCTCTTTTGCCAGGAATAAATGGTATAATTGCTGAACTGCATCATTTTCTGAAGGCAATAAAACAAAGATTTCTCTAGTTTTGGATTCAATTTCTTATCATTGTGTTATACACCCCAGCTTTTCATCATTCCAATAAGGATATTTGGGCAATAATTTAACTGCTTAAGATGTTACTCGAAAGTCAAATCATGGCAGGGCATATGAAGTAGAATAATTTGGAAATCAATTCCTAAATTTTAGGAGAATCACCGCATCAAATTAGTTGGAATGATTGAGGTCAACTATTCTATTTTTATTTCATTCCTGTAATTTTGGGATTCCTAGTTAATTCTGGGAATATCCTATTTATTATTTCCTTTTTTGTCGTCTTCCTCTTTAGTGTAGAATGTGTCTCTGCTCTTATGTAATATAACAGAGATGAAATATTTTTCTTCATACTCTGCTCATATATATTCAAGACCTGGTTCTTCATAGATGAAAACCAGTTACAGCCTCATGGCTGATATGCCCACCACCCCAGAAAATGTTTATCAGCCTCACACCTCCTAACCAGTCTCTTATTAAAAACACAAACAGTAACTCAGTCTCCATGTCTCCATCTCTCCAATTTGTCAACCTTAAGCCCTCCATTCAAATAACTCAACATAAGTTGAATGGGATAAACTTCAGAGAATGGTTCTTTCTTGTCTAATATGTAATTATAAATATGCGATGCAACTTCAGACATCTAATACACAACATTCATACATTTCTGTCTATAGTAACCAATCCAATGATGATTTCTGAAAGGGTGTGTATTTAGTTCCATTGTTGAAAATAAAAAGTGGAAACTATTGTGTTATCATAATGTTTTTTTCTTAAGATAAAGTCCTTCAGCTACACTCATTTTTGAAGTTATTTTCTGACTTGCATGTTTCTTTTTTCAGAAGCTCATGCAATTAGGTGTGGAGAGGCTTGTTTTGCCTGCTGTTCCTAGTGTACTAGAAACATGGACCAGGTCTTTTGGCTTTGCAAAGATGACCAGTTCTGAGAGATTTCAATTTCTTCACTATACTTTTTTAGACTTTCAGGATACCATCATGTGTCAGAAGCTGTTGATGAAAATACCATCTCCAGATTCAGTTTTATTAAAAGGTTTGTAAGTCCTGTCTTTGTAAAGGAGACATTTAAATAAGTTTGCTTTGCACAAAATGGGTTACACCTGTGATGTTTCCTGTTGCAGATTCACAAAAAAAATGTGATTTTTCCTCTGGACGTTGCAGTTTTAACTTTAAAAAGTCTAGTCCAGTATGTGAAGTATACCAAGTAGAAGAGATTGACAAAGGAGGGATGCTGGATCAACTAATAGGGGAGTATGTCTAACCTCTCTCTATTTCAATCCTAAACATATGAGAAAAAAAAAAGTTATGATGGCATTATATGCTATCTATATCTATATATAGGTAGAGAGAGTCCAGAGGCGATCTGGTATTGTGGAGAAGCAAGGAAAGGGTGGAAAACAAAGAAAATGATAGATGACATCTGCATTTATAAAGTATCACCTGAGTTAATTATTTGCATAAAAGATGCATAAAAATAAATAATTTTTACATTTTACTATTATTTAATATATTTTTTTATCATTGAAAATTTGGAACTTGCAATCAAAGTTCATCTTAGCAGTCCTTTAATAAGTTTGTTTTGTCTATTCCATAGTTCATTCTGTTTTAATGTTGTGATCTATTCGGGGGCATAACACAGATATGGTGTTAAACTAGTTCTTGATTTATTAGTTGGGCCTCTTGATGACCCATTATCTAAACTAAACCACGCCCGGTTACTGTAGCATTAAGACCAAGGATCCTATCTTACCAATTTGGAATCAGTGAAATACAATTCACCTTTCCACAACTGTCAAAACCCCTAGAATCTACTCTTACACCTCAGCATTGTTCCTTTGGCCTACAATTGAGTGCTTCATGCAGGGACAAAGTGCATCCATGGTATTGGATATCTTCTGTCAAAGAGAAAGTAACCAGCAAGAGTCTCAATCTGCCATATTCCATCCTAAGATCAGTGTGCTGACATCTTGACCAAGGCCCTCTCAACTCAATGATTCACACAGCTCTCTACAACAAAAATCAGAGTGGTTGACTACTACACAATAGTTCACCTACCCAAGTTTGACGGGAGAATATTAGACTATGTTTATATTTGCATGCTGTATACTGTAGACGTGCGCTGCATTTACTGTGCTTCTAGCATGCTGGCGTCACTAAATTGTTAGCTGTCAACTCACAAAAGTGACTAACAGACTAGTCCCACTGTCAAGACTGTTTCAGGCCCAACAGTCTGTTACAATTGAATTGGCTCAGTTACAACATTTCCTCGTACTCAGCTATACTATATATGTCAATCGATTTTTCTAACATTTGCATACACAATAAGAAATCAATAAATAGTAAGTTTTAATTGGAAATTGTAGCTTTAGTGTTATCAATGCATTGGATTTTGTGATATCCTATGATTTTCAACAAAAACTTACTATACATGAGTTCTTATTGTATGCTCGATACATTAGAAAAACTGTATGTCAATACAGAATAAACACCCTGTCTGTTTTCTCGCATTTTTCGTCCACTTTTCATCTGAATCTAATTCCCATTTCTGCTACCATTGCAACTGTGTTCAAGCTCAGGTTTAGGAAACTGCACTGCACAAAATTAATACCCCGTCCCTTTTTCCTCAACCATGTAGATTATATTAACAGATCGCGTTTAACATAGTGCAACTTTTATTAGGGCCTCCAAATTTCAATCATTGAGAGAGAATCTTCATCAAGTGGGAATGGTGCAATGAACAATGATTTTGTTTTCCTGGCATCTTCACTTTCATTGATTTAGTTAAAATTACTTGTTTTTATCATATCCGTGATATTAATCATCCTCACCATGATGGTTCTTGTTCATGTAATTGTTCATTACCTAAGAATCTTTTCACCACATTAGAAGTTGAAGTCTAATCCGTTGCAAAATGAAGATGATTCTGGCTTTCACGCCATTTGACCCATTGCTTCAATTATTTCATAAACAAATTCAAAATTGAATTCCCTTTTCATTGGGCCACACTTGTGTATCAGTATGGTCCTCTATAAATCAATTTCAGATTAGAATGTATTGACATTTTTGCTATTTTTCTTTGTAACTGTTATGAAGAGATGATGCTATTGCAACTAACAGATGTGATGTTTTTCTAGTACTTATGCCGGCAGCAATGATAATCATGGTAATGGTGCTATAGACCTCGTCACCATGGTACTTTCTTCTCTTAATTGTTTTGATGAGTAACATGTTGTTCCCCACTTGTTGCCTTAATCCTTCTATTGTGTCGTTTCTTGTTTCAGTGAAGATTGATAATTTTAATTTTATTGGTTCTTAGGTGAAGCAACCAAGTCATGGGGATAAACAGCGCCAGAATGGAAGTAACTCACAATGCTCTCTTTTAAAGCAAGCTCATAGTCATAGCAAGCCCATTATAAGGAAGGTCTATGCTAGAAGGAGAAATGGGCCTGATAATAGTGAGGCCCGAATGCAAACCACGAAAGATGACAGGTATAATGGCCCACCCAAGTACTACGCCCGAAAAACAAAAAAAGCATGTGAAGGATTTAGAATGTCATTATGAGAGAGATTAAAGTTTGAGTGGACATGAGTGAGGGGTGCAATGTAAATTTTGGTTGTGTACTTTGCATCTTCTAACTCATCTAATTTTTGAATGTGGAAGAATTTGAATGGGTTCCTTCTCCACATAAATAGTTTCTTCCTTCTCTTGTATGTTGAATGCTCATCAATTTTTTTATTTGCAATTTTATATAATGGTAGTTCAATGTGCTTGTGTAATTCGTACAAATTAACATCACTTCTCAAATATTTATTTTTTTTTATAAATGGTAGTTCAATTTTTTTATTTCCATTTCTATGTTTCTCGCTATCAAAATACACAGTTCGCTTTCAACTTTTTTCATTTTTTTGGGCAAGAAAATGAAAAAAAGTTGTCTCAAATGGCAAAAAAAAAGCCTAAGAAGAGAGTGGAAAGAGTGTTGTTCTACGATTTTTGGGATCACTGTAACAGATTAAATATTGAGGGACTAATTACTAAAAATTAAAATTAATAATGTGAAAATTGTAAAAAAATTGTTCTAACAGTCACATGTTAGGCACGGTTATTGGAATGAGATGGAAATGTGGTTGATTAGAATCCTGTATAAGTCCTTTTTGTACATTCATTATGAATTATAAATACAATTGTGAATTTCAATTCCTCTTAAACTTGTTCAAGTTGTGAGTGACTGCGTTTTCATCTTCAGCAATCACATGATCATTGCACATAAAGAAACTAAATTGAAAATAGAGATTTTGTTTTTCTATTTCATAACTATGAAAGTCGTAATCTCTTATTCTCAACAAAAGCTTCAAGTTTTGTTCTAGTTTCTTTACTCTAAATTATAATGATGACAATGTTCTTGTGTTAAGGTTTAAAGACCTGATTTTTTCATATTTAACTATTAAATTGATATATAATAAAGAGAATAAAAAATATCTATTTTCAAATATTTAAGGGAGTGAGTATTTATTAAATCCAAAATAATTATTCAAGTATTTGAATTATAGAGTTAATATTTATTTAATTGGCACTTGTAAAAATATTTGATTTTTAAAAAAAAAAACCATACTCTTTAAGTAAAGTCTTTTTTTTTTTTTTTTATTACAACGAACTATTTATGTTCCTATTCTTGAATCTAGCATATATTCATTTAAGGACTCAATTTTATAAATGATTGTATTTTTTATTTTAATCAATTTAAAGATGTCTTATTAGACTATTTAAGGTTCTATATTAGCCTGTGTGTTTCTAAAATTTTCTGCCCGTACAGTGACTGTTCTTCGTGTTCCTTGTTTGGATTGTTCATTAAAATAACCTGCAGACTCATTTTCTTAATCCTTGCAGTGAGAGCTTTTCGATGTTCTTTCAGATTGTAAATTAGGGCTCGTTTCATGCATTTTTGGTTCGATATCATAGGTTTCCTCAAATTTAAAATTTTCCTAATCAGTCTGAACTCTGTCTACGTGAACAAAAAGTCTTTTTGTATTCCCTAATCAGACTTGTTCATAAAAACTGATCAATCGTAGATAACTAAAAAAAAGACAATCTTTTGATTTGGGAGATAAACCAAATTAGAGATATGTTAGTAACTTGCATTTAGAACCACTTTTAAAGACTATTAAGGACATATTTTATGTAATAAATAAGAAAAGAGATAAAATGAAATAAGGTTTTCTCTTAAGGTTGTAACCTAGAACGCACGTATTAGGAGATGCATGCTATGTATATTAATTATACTCTATATTGAAAATGTGAAAAAGACTTGGAACTTCTCGTGATGCAGAACAGGAACAGAAAATGGTTTTAACCAAACATATTGTTTAATCCTTCTTCTTACACCTTATCAAAACAACTCAAGCATTTGTGGCACACCAGTCATGTCTGAAGAATGCACCTTGTACTCCAACGCCGCTAGCAACTTGTCATTCCCTTGTTGTTCTACTCCAGCAGTGACAGTTATGGCTTTGACAATAGAGAATTTACTTTCGAGTGTGGATAGAAGGAAAATTAGGAATTTAGAAACTAAATTTAAAACAAGTGTCTATATGGTGTAAAAAATTGAGTGTAGAATCGAACATTAAAATTGGAATTGAGTTTCAGAATTTTAACTGTCATTTTTTTATGTCCATTTTAAATTTGAATTATAATTCTCTACATCAATTTTATAGAATTATGTGAAGCTAAATTTGGGCCAACTTGAATTCCTAATCTACACAACAGTAATTCTTCTTTGTAGTTCTTATTCTTCCCTAAGTATTTTCTCTCTCTTCCTTTGTTCTTTCTTTCTTGTATGCATCTTTCTTCCTCTTCCTATGTTCTCCTATTTCTTTATATTCTCTTCTCCATTTAACTTAACTTTTACATAATTATTAGTATCACTTCTTTTTTTCTATATTCTCTTATTTTTCTCTATTATCTTTTTTCTGGTTTTAGGTTGATTATTAATAAAAGTGTTTTTTCTCCATTTCTCTTCCTCTTGTTTTTCCTATTCTTCATTTATGTCTTCTTTCTTTCTTTCTCTTTTTTTACATTTGTTACATGTTTAATATATTTATGTTATTGTATCGTATTGTTATTGTATATTTATTGCAAACTATATTGTATTGTTATTTTGCACTCTACACTTCTTGCAAACTATACTGTATTATTTTTCTGCACTTGACATAAACTATATTATTTATGTTAATTTTATAATAAATTGTTTGATATTTTTCTTGAATTGTAAAATGTTTGAAGAAATATTAGAAATTAATTCAAGAATTATTAAAAGTACAAGAAAAACAAAAATGAGAAAACTAGTGTTAGATGCAACATTTATTACAGTGGCCACAATAGCTTTATGGTATAAACAAAGAAATATACCTAGAGAACTAACAGAAGAGAGTGATACAGACATAGAAATAGGTATACTTTTGAGAGGATTATCGCATGGAATTGATGAAAATTGTTATAATGAATTTTGTCTTACTAAACAAGTTGTTTTTTTAGCTTTGCAATATTTTATGTGAAAGAGGAGCACTACATGATACTTATAATGTAAGTATAGAAGAATTCATTGCAATGTTTTTACTTAGTTTAGCTCATAATCTCAAAATGAGAGTTCTCGTAGGCACTTATATTTGTTCCTTAGGAGACACTTTGGTGAAGTTTTAGCAAAAATTATTGGCCTAACAAAGAATACATCAAATACTCAACCCTTTATAGAAGATAACAAGTGGAAGTATTTTTTGGGTAAGATCTATGCTAATTAGATTAAATAGTTTGAGAACATTATATACTAAATTTGATATTGATTATATATTGATGGGATTGTATTGGAGTCTTAGATGAAACACATGTCTTAGTTACTCTTCCATTTAAAGACCAAGGTAAATATAGGAAAAAAAAAAATCACTACAAATGTATCAAGAGTGTGTGATTGAAATATGAAATTTATTTATGTCTTAACTGAATGGAAAGGTTCAGCATCAGACTTTAGAGTTTTGCATAGTGCTATGACAAGAGCTTATCCATTTGTTGTACCAAATAGTGATAATTTCAAACATACAATTATTTTAAATTGTTAATCATTTAATAGTTAACATTAATTTTTATTTTTCTAGAAAAATATTATTTAGTAAATGTAGGATATACCAATGTACCAAAAGAACTATAAAAATATTTGTCCAAAAATTGTGCACTGAGAAGCTGCTCGGATGTTAACAGTGAAATTGATCATCTCCGTAGTAGAAGAGTTTCTTCCTACAATTTGATAAAATATTAGCATCTGTTGCATACTTAAAAACCCATAGTCTCAATTGCACTGACTCTAACATACAAGGAGTATAATTGACTTTTTCCTAATTTATATTATACTAATAACATTTATTTTATTTAAATAATATATTATTTCTTGCACAACAATCTTATACTCTTTGTACTTGGAAAAGGTTTACTTATCATCTTATTTATTTCTATTTATTATTCAAAAGTCCAGTAAAATAGTTTAACCCAACTTTGGGTTTGGTGACTATACCTTTATATTTAATGTGCCATACTTCATTTGCCAAGCAATTATTTCCCACCTTGCATAGTTCATTTGCAAACACCACAAAGTGATGAAATCTCTGTACCGTCTAAATATTGATTGTTGTTTACTTAAATGAAATACCAATTTTTATTTATTGTTTTTAAAGTGTGTTAATTCTCATTCATGCGTTTAAAAAGTTTCTCAACTCTAACTTCCTGAATTTTTACTCAATTATTTAGATCAACAACTAGTGTAGTTAGTCGAGCATTGCACGTTTTTATTAAGATATGAAAAAAATTAAAAGCAATTAAAAATGTAGATAAATGAGTATAAACAAACGACGTAGTTTTATTAGGGTAAAAATCACATATTACATCAGTTAAAAAATATTTCATTTCAATTGGCAAATTAATCTATATACAATTGATATAGCAAGTAAGAAAATTTAAATTGGTTATACAACTATCGTAAAAATGAGTTTTTACAATGATACAGTTACCAATATAGAAAGTGTTGATTTTCTACGTTATATTAATTATTTTTTAAACCGATTTAGAAAGTAATATTCTAGATTACCTATGAGTATTAAATCAAAGATAACAAAAAAATTGTACGACATTAGAGAGACATTAAAAAAAAAGAACTTAAACAAAAGCAAAAAAATTGTACAACATTACGGAGACATTAAACAACATGAAAGTCCTAAATTTTCTAAGCTAGACATGCATCATTTTGAAGCATGTGTCAACGTGGAAGATGAAGGACACTCGCTGCGCTTCCTTTGAAGCAACTTGGATCATCTTCAACTTTCCTAAAATGTGTCATAAGTGAAACTGAAAATTCTTCTTAACAACTGAAAATCATTAATCACATCGGCATATTCCTCATTGATGAATGATGCTCTACCCTGTAAATTTATCACATAAAAATAAGATTAACAACTTAATAATTAGACCATGGATGAGAATTAAATCAAGTTAAATAAATGGCTATTAGCAATCACTAACTTACC